TTGCACTGAAGACTCTTCCTTATCTCTTTGTACTTCCTTATGAGCATGCCTTGTCCTCCCTTTTTGTCTACCTTTCTCTTTTTCTCCCCCTAATAACAGTCTTTTTTTTTTTATTTGGGGAAGATGACTTATTTTCAGCACTGCCGACCAATCAAAATTTTTTATGAGCTTTTCTTCTCTTGCTTTTTTCTTTTTTAATTGAAGAACTTTCTTTACAATTCCGGATGTGGAAACCAACATAAAAACTTATCGGACTTTGTTTTAGGAATTAGATTTGTAAAAATAGGCTTTATTTGCTTTTGTTCAAGAGTTTGGAGTTTTAGTAACATTTATCAAAGTGAAAGTTTTCCAAATGGAAATTTCAGTCATCTAGGACATGAAAAAAAAATTATCGTCACTGAAAACAAAATTCCAAAAGTTATTATTACCAAACAAGTACTGAACTCTATCTTCCCTTTTTCTTGTTCTAAAACATGGGTTTGATCCCAAAAACTTGATAAAATAGACCCAGAAAAAGGGAGTCCTAATCTTGTTAAATACCTGCTTTTCAGCTTCTCCTTCACTGGTTGTACTCTGAAGCACTTTCTTCTTCAACCCTAAATAGTAATTTTGAAGTGTTAATAGTAGTTCCTCATCATTATAGTGGTGCCTAGACAACATATAATAGTGAATTGACTTCTTGCTTTCAATCAATATATCATGGTAAATTAAAACTGTTATTTCTTTTTCAACTCGTACCACTGGCTGCATGATGATGTTGGCACCATTCTCCCATCTTATCCAAACAGTTATTAGTTTGATGGATAACCAAATCTGGACCCTGAAAATAGGATGCTTTGTAATTGTACACATATTTATCATATGACACAGATGCTCTTTTGTCAAGAAAAATAGGAAATGCAAACAATTTTCATATAACAGAACACTTTTCACATAACAGATTGAAAACAAGAGGTTTGCAACTTCTTCAAATGCAAGATTCTTCATAAAATTTACTTTCATTTCAAAAGGTTTTTCAACTTCTTAGTTATTCTGCCTTCATAATCTAACGTTGTTCTTCATAAAAATTACTTTTATTTTTAACTTGACATTCTGAAACACAAAAATGAATAGACAAATCAATGACTTATGCTGTTCAAAAATCCAAATTTTTGTTTAACATGGAGTTACATTTCAAAAATGAATACTGAAATAATCTGGCATTGATTGCTGTAGAGGTGACATATAACGACATATAAAGAGACTATCAATCTTTTCTTTATTATTTCTCCAATATATACATGCAACGCAAACTTTATATAGGTTTAAAATAAACCTTTCGCTAAACCTCAGTTCTTTGTGATATAGTCGCCAACATTCCAAGGCAACAACCACATGAAAAACTCTTTTCAACAGACAGTACCACCTGAGTAAACCATGTGGAACCAAAAAATAAAGAGACAAATAAAATGCATGCATCACTAGTAAGCCATCTTTTGGTGAGAATAATCAGCTAGAGTATAAGTTATGGAAAACAAGGTTCAGTTGTTGAAACTTAAGCTGTGTTTGAACAAATGAAATCCGTAAAAAATGTAGAATTTGTTGATAAGTTCACATTCTAAACATAAAGAAGATAGACTTAGAAATAAATTTCACACCTTTCACAAAGTTCATTTGTTCAGGACATAATGTTCATAGAGAAATAAGAAAGCGCATAATCCAAGTGATCAACTTGATCTTATAAGAAAAATGACCTGACACCTTGATCCCTCAAACTTGTTATCATATGCTTTATATAACCAAAAGGCAATAAAGAAAACAGTGACCTTATAAATTCAAAAAATGGCAAATAAAATACACTCACGATCGCTGAGATTGTATTAAGTGTGAGTTTGACAATAATTGAACTATACCAAAAGCAACCAAAGATATAGCCTACATATCATAGCCAGCAACTAAAAATGAACAGTCTTCTAGCTTTAAAATATTTTCCCATTAATTTTTTTGCAATATCATTTCCAACACCCAGAAAGTTCTGACGGATAAACTAATATACATCGTTAGTGGAGGACATCTTTTAAATGCCTATAACATGCAATGGTTTGTTAAACAAAATTGAAACTTTAACCACTGCCATATTGCTGAGACTCTACAGCAGATATGCGGATGTAAAATATAACAAAATTGATTTTTTAATCAAGGAAACACAAAGATATTCTAGCTTTTATGTAGTGATAGAAGTAAAGGCAATTGCTAAAAAAGAAATAATAAACAAGAGAAGCAAATGCAAAGATATAAGAGGAAACATAAAAAAATAAAACAAGTCACAAAGTCAAAACAAGGATATTAAGAAGGAAAACAAGGATACTGAACATTAGACTAACAAAATTATAAGTACCTCCACTGATTTGGTCAGACTGCCATTTGTGATTATACAAGCAATTTCCAATATTCGGTCAACTTCAATGTCCAGACCTGCATGATAGCACAGGAAAGGAATGAAAAAAAGTGTGCATAAGGCTCGTTAAAAGATAATTAAAAAGACATCAAGGGACCTCTATCTGTGTAAGGAAGATAATTAAAAAGAAGTTTGCCAAAGATTTATGAGGTCCCCGAGATCTTCTCCGTCATGGAAAGAATGACCTTTATGCAAAATACGCAAAGTCTATAACTAGTGCTCATTAACTCGTCAAAAAGAAAGCAAGTTCGCTAAAGAATTCTCTTGTGTTTCTGATGCGGAACCCATGATCAACTAACGTGATCAAAACCCCTACATATACTAATGTGGAACCCGGGATGAACAGTGCAATCTAAAACCTCGCATATACATCAGTAACCAGAAACTCAAAACCCTAAATAAATCCTCCCTACTTGACCCGTACTCAATAAGAGAGTGAAAATCAAGATAACTATAATGATGATTTGAATTGATTAAAAATGACACAAGTATGAACTTGAAAAGTTAAACATCAATTCAAAAAGAAATTGATAAAATGCAACAAAAAATTACCTTGATAAGTTGAATCAATTTTCACTCAACAAGAAGGTTAACAAAAAGCTAAATAGTTGAAAACTAAAACTTTATAATTTTATGATTCTCAAACTTAATTGAATACAACTGTGAGTTGATAGCCTATTTATAGTGTAGGGCATGTGAAAAATAAGACTCATTTGGCAACATTTGGCAAATCGATTTCTCAACTAATATTCCCAAACAAGAAAGACTGGATAGCCAAGAGTCTAGAAGAACAGTTATATAACTATCCAACTATTTCCTTTCCCCTTATTTCTCTAGCTTACCAAATAATTATATTTTCTACAACGAAACTATGAAGCTAAATATGCATACCAGTCATTTCCAAGTCAATCCATACAAGGGGTAACTTGTACGCTTCAGAAGGCACCAAATTCTGCTGATTTTGCTTTCCATTTTCTACTGATATGAAATCACCATCGCTCTTAACTTTGCTTTTGTGGTTAACTGTTTCAAAGAAATAATATCATTACTATGACATTAATTTATAGAGTACCAGAGTCTACGTGCTTAGATTAGGGTGCATTAGTGCATAGGGAAATCAAACTCATTAACAAGGCTCCCCAAATGAGCTATCATCAGCAAAGTACCCCCTAGAGAAAAAAATTAACAGAGTGCAGATAACCAACATAGTTATTATAATTAATAAAATATTTATTGAAGATTATATGCAGTTATTTTTAGGTAAAAGTTTCATTTGAATTCACTTGTAATACAATGGGGGAAGAAACTGATGATTCACATTTATCCACTGAAAAGAAAAAAAAAATGAAACATATGTATCAGGATATCCAGTACGCCATTGAGGTCTGACCTATCTTTTTCCTTTGAACCAATATTTCAACTATCTTGGCATATTTAATGAAGAGGAGAGAGAGGGAGAGACACGCACACACACACACAGAGATATAGAGAGACACAGAGAGAGAGAGAGAAAGAGAGAGAGAGAGAGAGAGAGAGAGGAAAAGAAGGTTGAGAATTTGCCAGTGAGAGAATACTTAATGAGAGACGGAGTTAAATAACGGGAGATTAATTAGTTTCAAAGGATGCTGAAGAATCAAAGTTAAGTTAAAACACATTGATTTCAGAGGTTGATTTATACCAAGTGGCAGAGTGCATCTCTAGTTCAAACAACATGCTACTATTCTCTACTAACAGTCTAAAATTTGAAGAAGAAAAGAGGTCCAGCAACAATGTATAAAGGAATTTGAACTTATGGTAGATAAAAACATTGAAGATAAGAATTTTTATTCAAAAATTACTAAATGGTAATAGAATAAACCAATCATTTAAACTATGTTACTCCTATATCCTTGAGAAGCACCTTGACATACAGAATTCTACTCTGTCCATATAGCATACCCTTTCTGCCAAAGTTTTGCCACAAGTAGGCACCAAGAAATTAACCCAAACAATCAAGAGAAAGTACCATACTTTCAAGAGAAAATATCATGTTTATCACAATTGCTTTTCTGCTTTTTACTAGTCCAAAATCCTACAACGAGATCTGCAGCCATACTTTCAAGAATGCCCATTACGGACTTTCATATCTCATTAAACACGCATCGTGTTTCTTAAAAACACCCCCAGCTCTTAAAGTCATTGCTAGTTAGCCGTAACAGATAGGAAATTAATCGGCACCTTTTAGTCTTATCAGCTGACACACAATCCTCTATCGAAATTCCGATTCTTACAAATGCAAACAAACGTGAAACACAACCATCATACTATAAAGCTCATTCCTTCTGCTACTTGAAATAATAATTATAAAAAAAAGAAAAAAAAAACTAAAACATACAAAGTTCAGATAATTCACCATGTCTTAAACTATATTGCAAAAACATTTTCCCGCTTCTCTCTATTTTTCTACAAATAAATTTGATAACCGAATGACGAATTCTCTTATCGGAATAACGCAGAACGACTTCACTCAATAAACAACGAAAGGATGTTATTGAGAACTCCTAAACAACCGCGTTAAACAGAACACAAACCTAACCCTAACACAGAGTGCATGAAGAAAGCAATTAGGTACTTAAAAAACGGAAACGTTGATGCATAACCTGAATCCCGAGATGAAAGAGATGAAGTAGAAGCTGAAGCAGGAGCAGAGGAGAAGATAGATTGCACTTGATCGTCTTCAACGTCGAGGTCCAGCACAGAGAATGC